ATGTACAATTCTTGTTTCCCTTTTTTTTTTTTATTATTTTATTGATGTTTTAAATGTGATGCTGGGATTCTGTGAATCCATCTTTTCCTTTGTTCTGTGTTACTTGTGTGACTTATGTTATGCTATAAAACTAATAAAATTATTTTTTTTTTAAAAACAACTCTAGCACTTAAGGTATAGTTGTCAGAGTTGGTACACTGCCCCATTACTACAGCAAAAAGTCATATAAAGCCCTTCCATGTGCACCTTGTTTTAAACCTGGTTATGAGTTGATGAGTGCGTTTGCCATTTGTTTTGCTTGACTGCCCCTATTACTGCCGCACATTAGAGACTGTGAAACTACATGCAGACAGTTGGTTGGGCGCCAAGGGAGCAAAATAATCATGCACACTGTGTTTGTTGTGTGGCCACCTAGTCATTGTTCAGTTCTTGAAGTGCTATAGTTTATTAGGGTTAATCACGCAAAAATCACTTTGTACATTTTCTATTTGCTGTCTCTGTACATAAAGCATTGGGTTCATTTAATGACTTCCTGTGAATCTGTTACCTCCTCATGTTATTGACTTACGCAATCATGTTCTCCATTGGTTACTAAACAATATGATGAGATAACCAGCTGATTTTGTTTTCAGTGCTTGAAACTGATTTGGATAAAATATATATCATATGCTTCCAGGGCAAATGCTTTCTGAGCATGGAAACCTTGACAACCTTCAGGCTCATCACTCATGCTTAGAGCTCCAATGACATATTTTTCTTGCAAATATGGCTCTGCATATATACTGTATAACACAGCACGCTTTGCTCTTGTTTTGAACTATCTCCTTTGTAACTTTATTTTTTGCAGCAATGTTATGCCTAAAGTACACTTGCAGTGCTAAAGCACTGTATACCAGAAACATTATTTTTCTTTAAAAAAAAACAAAAACCTTTTATTATCCTTTGTTGCATCTCAGTGATGATGATCTCCTGCAATCTCTTTGCAGCCACTCCATATCTACATGTAAACAGGAAGTCAAAAGAAATCTCCCCAAGGGCAGAGGGCAAAAATGGTGACCCTATTCTATCCCAAACTAAAAAAAAAAGAAAGAAATACAAATTATAAATTTAAAATACACTGTATATTTATAAACTATCCATGAATAAACTTGTTATGAAAATATATCTTCCAAAAGTCGTTTGAGGTAGTGGTGTAAATATAATATCAAAGCCACTTTGTGCAAAAAATGAATAAATGCACATATTGCAAAAAGAAAAAAAATGTGCAATCATGAATTTTTTGCATTCGAGCCTGCAACTACAGTCAGTGGATGGACTACAAGTATGTTGAGGTCATGGCAATTGTGTACCATAGAGAACTTTGAGTCCCTCTGCCACAGTGGCAGATTAGACTTGTAGTTTCTGCATTCACAGACCCTGCTAATGGATTTTTGAATGAATGACATGGCTGTGCGGTTGGGGCCACACATAGTGCCGTTGAATTTAACAATACACAGGAGCCTGTGGGGGGGGAAAGAACACAGTGAATTAGGTAAGTGGGGGGTTGTGGAACAGCACCATGTTCTATGTTACACCCTAAATATGGGTGTAGCATGCAACATGATGTTAAAGGTAGAATTAGCCTTTAAAGTGCAGGTTGAAAAAAACAAAAACTGAAGCAGTAGCTGAGTTTTAAACCAAATACCTATAGGCATGACCTGCAGCACTCTTGTTAGGTAGTAACAAAAATTATATAACGGTCTGCTGTAGCAAACTGATTTTTAATTCTGTTTTTTTTTTTTTACAGAACATTATGATGATGAATGACTCAAACACAGAATTCAACAATTCTACAGTGGAAAACATAAATGGAACAGAAGATGACAAATCCTCGCATGGGGGAAGTTCCTACTTCATGCCCCTGACCGTTTTCTCTCTAGCTCTGTGTGTTTTAGGGTTACTGGGCAATGGGACTGTGTTTTGGATCCTTTGTTTCAAGATGAAAAGAAACCAGTTTACAGTCTATATCCTCAACCTTGCAGTTGCTGACTTTACCTTTTTGGTTGGATTAGGGGCATGGATGATGTACACCTTCTGTGTTCTAAATGGAGTATGGAATTTAGCGATTGTGGAAGGCTATATTGCTTTTTTCACTGGACTGTTATATAATTTTGGATTTAACGCTAGTATTTATCTACTTATGGTTATTGCACTGGAGAGATGTCTTGCTGTTTTATATCCTTTTTGGTATCAATGCTATAGGCCCAACAACTTGTCAGCCTATGTGTCCATCATGTTTTGGTTGTTGTCCGTGCTGGTAACGTTACTAGAAAATGTATTATGTAATGGTAAACAATATCAAGCCCCAGACTCACAAAGCTGCACACATGTCTACTATTTTACTTCTGTCCTGTACCTTCTTGTTGTTCCTGTAATGGTAATCTCCAGTCTAATCCTTCTATGTAAGATTCAAACAGCTCCTAAGCACTGCCAACCACCTAAAATTTACATAGTGATTGCCATCAGTGTCACCATCTTCCTCATTTCTGTGGTACCTGCCAGAATACTAGGCCTTCTGCTATACTTTAATGTTCTGCAGTCTGAGCCATTCCAGGTCGCATTCTTCTTTATTACATCCCTGTGCTCATCCTTTAATTGTAGTGCTAACCCGTATATTTACATGGCTGTAGGTAGATGGGGAAAGCTCAAAACCGAGGAAGGAACAGTTAAAAAATTGTTAGAAAAGGTATTTAAGGATACTGCAGAGACTGAGAACACATCCAAGAAAACATGTATTATTAAGGATACACCGGAAAAGGCACAAAATCTGCCTGCATATACCAACGGTACATTCAGTACTTTTTAAAGTGACACTTATGGCGCCACAAAACCCTCAGCTTTTGTCTCCTTATACACATCTACACAATTAACATTTTCCAAAGCCACGTTTATTTATGTTTTAAAATAAAGTCTTACTATTTTAATCCCTGTAGAAAGTCTGCAGTGCTCGCTCCCGTTGCTCTTCTCTCCATTCACACTTCCTGTCGCTTAGAAAGAGCCATGCACGTTGATTCTGGTCACGTGGACATCTTTTTCTGCCTACAACTCCCTTGAGGCAGAAAGGAATCATCTCTCACTGCAAACAGCTGTTTCTACCTCCCTCTCCTCACTAAACACACTGTGACAGTTTCATTCCTTGTAATCTCCCATGCAATGCTCTGAATGATCAAAACTACTTGCAACAGCTTTAAATACATCTACAACAAACATCAAGTTTACAACAATCTACACAGAAAAACATCTTTATTTCAAATGTAGGAGCTGCGTCCTCTGTAACTGTGTGGCCAGATTCAGCATGTGAGAATAAGAAGAAAGTATGAGGTTGGTGACTGCTCACATGCTGAATCTCCTCACAAGCAGCTCCCCCCACACTCCCTCTTTGGTAGGCCAGGAGGAGAGAAATCAAAGATCATATGTTAGTGTGGGAGAGCTGAAGAAATCCCATCTCCTTGAAGACTAGAGGGGAGAATTTGTAGGCGGAGACTGAGAAGACACGCCCTCAGCATGTAGTAGTCCTTCACATGAACCAGCACATAGGCACCATGGAGAAGAAAAGTAGCCACCCTCTGGCAGGAAAATGTGGCTGAAGAAAAATAAAACAGATTTTTGAGCATTTAGAGCTGAACAATTACCAAAAAAGGCACACAGTCATTTATTGTTTATATAATAGAAGCTATTTTTATGATTTAATTTCTGAGTTTAGTGTCGCTTTAACTCAGGAGTTAAATCTTAAAAATGCATTCATGTACCTTAACTATTATCAATACTGGATCTTATTTATGTATCACTCGGCTGTGGAGCCCCAAATCATCCCTGAATTGGTGCCGGCACTGTCCTCCCTTCTGGAGGGTGGCTACGTTTGTTCCCCATGGTCCCTTAATGTGTTTTAAAGTAGCCACAGCTCCAAGCTCACTTCTTTAGTAAACTAAATGTGAGATTATGGTCCATCACAGGAGTGATCCTGGAGCTGTGGCTACTTTATAACACACACATGGAGCATGGAGAACAAAAGTAGCCACCTTCTATGAGGAAGGACGGTGTCAGCACTATTGATGGTCCGAACACACCTGAGTTTGGTTCGAGTTGGAACTTTAGAACATGGAAAAAGTTCAAACTCGAACTTCGAGCTTCAAACTCAATGAAAGTCTATGGGACCAGAACTCGAAAAATCAAATGTCCCGATTTTGAAGGCTTACTGTATATGCAAGTTATTGGCCATAAAAAGGTATGGGGATTCGGATACTGCCCTGGGGGTCATATATGAATGAAAAAAACACTTTTAAAAAATACTGTTTTTAAAGGAGCAGTGATTTTAACATTGCTTAAAGTGAAATAATAAAAATGAAAAATTCCTTTAAATATAGTGCCTGGGGGGGTCCCCTTTAACTGCCTCTAAAGTGGCGCATCTGTACAATGTATAGAACCTGCCGCAGCAAAAATGACATTAACCACTTGCCGTCCGCCCGTTGTAAAAAAAACGGACGGACGGACGGCACTGCAGCATTGGCGGGTTGCCGTCTCCAGACGGCATTTAAAAGTCACATTCCAGGTGTGGTGAAGCTACAAATCCCATTATGCCTCTGCCTCTGGGAGTCACGCCTGTGTGCAATGCCTCATGAGACTAGTGCTACACAAAAGCTGGAGTGTTGAGGTTGCCTACCCCTGTCCTAAGACAATGCCCATAAGTGTCGGCTGACATATTTTGCCAAATAAGCTTCCACCCAAGTGGGACAAAGACAGTGTAGTGCTCACCTTCGAAGGAGCCGCTGGATGCCCGGTTCATCTCTAGTCTGTCTAGGGTATGAGCTTCAGCTGCAAACCCATTAGCATTAACCACCCTTCCTCTGGTGCCATAAACTGACATCTACTCCATTAGTAAAATACTGAATAACATTTTATTGAACATCTTCACCGGGGAGAGAGGTTATAGGGATTCTAGGTGTCCAGGGATAACCAACAAGAGCTCCAGACTCACCAGACTTTGTAGGTATATCAGTGTAGATCCACTTGGGAGACAACGGACAGCAACTGATGTAGCAGAATGGCAGGATGGATACAGATCCTCAACCAACACCGACCATACTTCTGAAGTCCACTTAGTTCCAGGGTACTTCAAGAGCCTGCACTGGTCCCGGTTCTCTTCCTCTATCAGCATCGCAGGCCTCCTCCACGTTGGAGGCCTTAGAGAAACCTTTCCCTCACACCAGCCCATGCCCACCCCTAGGCCTCAGGCCTAGCCCATGGGGCAGGATGAACAGCACCCAGCCCTATTCCATGGCTGGTCCCGGCTAATCTCTGCACACGGCAAATCCCACCAGTATATGTACCCTAACTCAGCATGCACCACTGCCTGAGAGAGAAACTCAGTGATTGGCTGCTGCACTGTACATACACTACAGTGCCTCTCATTGGCTTTCCCACAATATGACAGTCACACTGCGCCCAGGGGGGTACAGTCAAGGCTAGACACCTGGATTTAACCAGATAATTGCCACTATAAATTAAGCCAGGCTGACTACTGCCCTGTCTATCACGAAATGTCTAGAAGCCACATCACAGAAGGTGATGGGGGCTACACTAGCAACAAAAAAAAAAAAAAAAATTTAACCAATGCCTACTCTACTATTCAAAAAAGGTTTTGGCCGTAGATATACTTTAAACACTGAAGGTACTAAAAATGCAAATAGAACACACTGTGTACAGTATATTGGTTGGTCATTATTAGTAACACACACTTATTCAATACAAAAATGTGGTTGTACAACTTCAGACTTCATAAAGCGTCAATTGCATAGAATTTTAAGATAAGTAAAATATTACTTTTGTAACTGCACTGCACTGTTTATTGTTCTTTTGCTCATTAATAAAGCATTTGCCCGGTATCTGACTGAAAAGCAGTATTAAATGATAAGAATGAATATAACATTATGATCACAGCTGAAAAGCTAGTAGTTCCAGAATACTGACACCAACCCAAATCTCCCAGTTTGGCAAAACGGTAGAAGAAATTATGTTTGATTCTCATGATAGAAAAAGACACACATCTATGTTTAGATAAAATACATGTAAAGCAAACCAACACCATAAGTGTGGTACATGGACACAACATCCCATAGACAAACATAGAACTTCAATTTACCAAACTAGGTTCTTTAAGGGGTCCTACATATGGAATCTAATATATAAATATAAAACACATACTGTATGTTAATTTAGAAAACTTAAAATATTTCATACATAGTAAAAACAAAACAGACAGAGGGGAATTTCTCAAAACTGGAGCAGGCAAAATCTGAAACAGCTGTGCACAGTAACCAATCAGCTTTCCTTTTCAGTTTGTTCAGTTAAGAATTTAAAAAACGAAAGAGATAATCTGATTGTAAAGGTGCCCATACACCTTACGATTATCGGACGAAACTTTTCGTCTGATGATCTAATAGTCGTACGATTTTCGGACGGTAGCCCCATCCTGCCCCGATGATCGCAAGATTCATCTAGCCGTAATTAACGAAAAGCACCTGGACGAAATGCGGTAATTGATTTGCCGTATTTTCGTTAGCGCAAGCGCAGTGTAGATCGTACGACTTTTGACGGACGGAAAAGCAACCTTACGACAATCGTACGATCTAGCAAAGTTTTCAAACATGCTTGACCGTCAAAAGTCGTACGATTGTACAATACTGTCGGTCGGACACTGCAATGCACACATACGATTATCGGACGAAAAGTCGATCGCATACGAAAATCGTACGATAATCGTAAGGTGTATGGGCACCTTTAGCCGTGCACAGGTGCTCCAGATTATGTCTGCTCCAGTTTTGATAAATTCCCCTCACAGTGTCCAATATTGCTAATATTTTGACCAGTACATATTACACATAACCTGCTATTGCTCCATATACACATTCAACATCTTACACATACTGTATATATATATATATATAACTGGAGCAGACAAAATCTGGAGCAGCATCTCTCTTCAGTTTGCTCAGGAAAGATTTGAAAATGAGACAGAGAAGCTGTTTGGATGCAGTGCAAATCTTTTTCAGATTTTGTCCGCTCCAGTTTTAAAAAATTCCTCCCGACGTGTCTAGAGGATCAATCACATTTCCAGTGTACAGGGAGACAAAATTGTGCAGGTAAGTAATGGTAGCCGTGACGTGTTTCACTGAACAATATCGGCTTCTTCAAATTGTGCTATACAGAATACAACATGTGAATTATACCTGGTCCAGAGGGACATGCAAAAGTAAAGCTGGCCATACACCTTACAATTATCTGCAGATTTTCTGTGGTCAGATGGAAAAAGTGCAACAGATTGGCCCAAGTGGAGATTACTCCATCCACACAGTTTAGTGTAGATGGAGGAATCTGTTGCACCTTTTCCATCTGACCACAGAAGATCTGCAGATAATTGTAAGGTGTATGGCCAGCTTTACACCCCTATCAACGCCAGGCCAGCAGATCAAGTGTTCACCTGGGAACCGCAAATAATAATAGGGGATCTGCTCCACAAGCTCTTAGTGCTTCAAGAAGATCACGTCCTACCGTAGTACAAACCAAGTAGTGGGTGCGTCCTCACCAGACACTGCCCATATTGTTTTTACAATGTATGGGATATTTTAACTTTTCTGAATAAATACTGTATATGTATTTTATATTAATATTTATATATTCAGTAGTTTCGATATGTATGACACCATAAAAATCTTATTTTAGCAATTTGAAGTTCTATATAAATAAAATGCATTTCAATATATGTGGTCTCCCTGAGTACAATTCAAAAGCACGTTAGTCAGTTACTTACTGAATTCTTTTCAACATCTCATTGGTATCATAGATTCCTCTGTTATTGGCATAAAACCTCTGCTGTATTTTGTTTATTCTTCTTTTTTTTTGCTGCTACTGAGACATATTCCTTGCTTGGATCTAAGATAAAATATTCCTCTCTTGAAAAAAACAAAAAAAACAAAAGAAAAGCAGCAGTTCCGGAAACAAGTACAGAGAACAGTGCTGTACAGTTGTTACGCTAATACTGTAGAAACAGTAGATAAACATGTCAGTGGTGCTCTCTACTGGCTGTCAGTGATATCAAACATACCACATGCATATGTATTGTATTATTTAAAAAGTAAAATCAGCTAGTCTGTAAGTGTTTTGAAGACTATAAAAAAGGAAGCACCTTTATATGAAATGCTGGTTTTTCCATTGTTATTTCTTGGCATGGGGATTTTACACTACAAAAAGTGAAAATGGGTGCAAATGTCACTGTAATCTAACTCTAGGCAAACACTTAAAGTAAGCCTTGAAATGGCTCCTTAACCTGAATGTTTAAAGAAGAACTCTGGGCATATAAAAAGTTAACCCTTGTAGTGGGGCTGCCCCCCACACTGTAAGGGTTATCTGCTTTTTTTGGTCCTGCCTGGTTGCTATACCGGTCCCTGCAGCCTTTCTCTCCCCCTCCCCTCCAGTTGTCTAGGGACCCTTGAGTCTTCACGTCTAATACAATGTATTAGACGTCAAGCTGCAGCTAATGTATCTTTGTTATTTTAGACCATGGGTAGCAAACCTCCGGCCCTCCAGCTGTGGTGAAACTACAAATCCCATGATGCATCTCTCTTCGGGTGTCTGTGGCTGTGAGAATCTTGCAATGCCTCATGGGATTTGTAGTTCCACCACAGCTGGACCCTAGACCAAAACGAGCACTTAACTCTTGGGTTGCCCCACTGCAAGGGTTAAGTTTTCATATGCCCAGAGTTCTTCTTAGCCTTAACCTTTATCCTAACATAACCTTTATCCTCAGCCCCTGCTGAGACCCTCCGCATCTGTCCCTGCAGTGATCCTCCGCATCTGCCCTGCTGTGATGCTCCACATCTGCCTTGCTGCGCTCCTCCGCATCTGCCCCTGCTGCGATCCTCTACATCTGCCCTGCTGCAATCCTCCACATCTGCCCCTGCTGCAATTTGCTACATCTGCCCCTGCTGCGATCCTCTACATATTCCCTTTGCTGCGATCCTCTACATATTCCCTTTGCTGCGATCCTCCACATCTACCCTTGCTGAGACCATCCACATCTGCCCCTGCTGTGATCTTCTGCATCTGCCCTGCTGCAATTCTCCGCATCTGCCCCTGCTGTGATACTCTGCAGCAGTATTAACTGTCGAGCTAGCAGAATTTATTACCTCACTAACTGAAAGTAGGGTTAGGCTACATCTATAACGAGATTAGATGATTCTTCATTTAGGTTTACAACAGACTTGGAGTGTCTCAGAAGTAAAGATGGACAGAGGTTCACCAATCTATGAAAAGCTGCATCTAACAATTGTTGAACAATTTCAGAATAATGTTCCTCAATGTAAAATTGCAAATACTTTAAATATATAATCATTTTCAATACATAATATCATCATTGCACAACCACTAATTTATCTTTTTTTTTTAAACTCAAACGTTACAATCTGCCATTACATTGTGTTATACACAATATAAACTATACACTCTACCTATGTATTGCTAGTAATTTATAACTTGGTGGTCACTTTTTTTATTAAAAAAATCTACCATATGTGTGGTGAGCTGAAGAAAAATGCTGGCAAATGTCAGTTAATGTTTTCCCTGTGTCAGTAGATCACAAGTCCATGAGCACTCATTTTGCAGGCTAAGCAAGTTTTAAAAAGCATTGCGACTGTAGAGGATCAAAACAAAGCTGGAAGATCAAACTGCCTTCAACTTCCTGTCCAGCCAGCAGTAAATGCACTTATAGACATGAGATGATCATCACGCTTCAACTTGATCTCAGGTCAGTAGGCAGATTCAAACAGTCCCACCAGATCCTGGTGAAAAAAAATTTGAGTATGTTAGAAAACCCTTCCGTCCAAGATATGGCAATACCCCATTATCTTCTGCATACACTTATGGCCTGTTCACACCAGCCTCGTTTGGCTGCGTTGGGTACCGTTGCCCATCTCATAGACAAGGCATCATATAGATAGAAGTTCAACGTTTTGCCTTCCTATGACAGTGTCTCTAGTAAGGAGAAAAATGAGCATCAAAAAAGTAACGTTAACAAATCTCATTCCATTAGTGTGAGGAAGCAGTGCCTTAGACCTTACACTGCAGATATACAGCTATGAGTCTGTAGGCACAGGAGTGACTAGGCACACTCATATATCAGGAAGTGGCACCCTCACATACCAGGAAGTGGTACCCTCACATACCAGGAAGTGCTCTGCTATTTTTCAGAAAGAAAGTTAAGACATGGGTGGCGTGAGAGATAAGTAGTATATACTTACTATACTTACACCATTTTCCAACTAATGTTTGGTGTGCTCATCCACCACAACATTATATTGTAGGTTCCCACACTGAATTGATTTCCTTCATCAAGCTTCAGGCACCTTTCTCCAGTGCTGCCAGGTGTGCCCACAGTTAAAATGGCTACTGGTGCTCTGTCCCCACCTTATCCATCACACGAAGCACTCTGCATCCACATTCACTTCCACTGCGAGTACTAAGTTAGCAGTGCTGAGCGCTGACTTGCAGCACCGCATTTAGCGGCAGTTTGCTAACTCAGCACTCACAGCGGCTGAGCAACTGAACACGCCTGATTCCTGCAAAGCATTATGTGAATGGGGCCTTATGTGTACAAAATGGGATTAAAAATATACATCATTTTACGTGTGTTTCCTTGAATGCAACGCATCTAAACATGCTTTCAAATAGAAGTAAACAATTTCCAGCACGTGCCTTTGGGTGCATTCCCACCTGAGCATATTGTAGCTTAACTGCCTGAGCGCTACAACACTCAAAATAAGAAATCCCCTTGTTTCCAATGGCCCCTGTTCACACCTGAGCATTCTGTCGCCTGTAGCCCGAAAAAAAAAACCTGAGCTTGTTTTGGGGCGCAACTGAGCGTTTTGGCCCCCATATATTTCCAATGGAGCCCGAAAAAAAACACGCAACGCACATTTTTTGGCCAGCAACTAACTTTTCATTGGTTAAAAATAACATTTAAAAAGATTATTTTTAACAAACATTCATAAAACCACCAAAGACGCTCAGCTCAGGTGTGATTGGGGCCTAATACGCAATGATTTCTCTCTTCAGGTTAGAATCCTGTAAGCAATGATGGCTGAAGGATGGCTGCACTTAGCTGTGTGGCCGCCAGATGGCAGTGTGGTACATTATAGCCCCAGACACACACAGATGTGAACCGAGGCAGGCAGGAAATGCCGGGGAGATCCTCCTCTTCCTCATGTGTTCTGGATAGAGACAGGAACGTTTGTTACTCAAGAGGGCTTTGCAATGCTGCCTGCACTGCAGAAGTGTCCCCGGCACTTGCTGGTGTGTGAGAAGTCCAGTTTCCTGCTGGAGAAGTCCCGGCATGCCACCCACGTGGAGACACATTACTATAACTACGCTGTGAGTACACGTGTGTGCTGTGTGTGTGTTCTGTGTACAGGTCACTCTTACAGCTCTGATCATGACAGCTCATTATAGGGACATGGGACCTAATAGCTGCTATTTACTTTCTATGGGACTTCAGCATCCTATATTCACTCCTGAGCGTTGGCATGTTTGGTCTATTTTTTTTCCCCGTGTTTTCTTGACTGTTTTAGTCAATAGAGAGTTACTTTAGAGGAGGAGACCTTTTATTAGGAGCCACATTGCATAAAAAATGTGCAGCTAAAAGGGCAGCTATTTGGCCCCATTCACATGGGGCGTTCATGGATTACTGCAGCAAGAACCTATGTCAGGGATCCCAACCTGAAGAAAGCAATTTCAGGGAGGTGCCCTCTGCCGCCCCCCCCCCCCCCCC